CCCCCCTCGCTGTCCAACCGTGGCGGGAGGTAGCAGATGAGTCCATCTGGCTTCTTATGATTCAGCAGGCCACACGGGGCCGGGTGCGGAATGGCTCCATCTTGTGGTGGCTGCGGTCGTCGCAACGCCCGGGCCGTTGAGCCCAAACAAGCAGTCAGAAATAATGAAGAAAAATTGCTAATTTGTTCGTTTTGTTGTTTTTTTGCTGGCCAAGTTTTTTTCGTGTAAAGGAAACGGTTCGCAAAAATAAAAAAAAATGCCGTGATTAACACACGGGGATGCAAATGAGGGACGCGTCTGAAACACTATGCGTGCTGGTGGTGGTGGTGGTGGGGTCACTAGTGCGGAGCGCACGCAGCCCCCGGGGGCCCTCGGGGGGATGAATAATTAAGCCCCCCTGCGGGGCCCATGGTGGCGGTGATGGTGCCCGCGGGGCTCCCCCCCCCCCCCCCCCCTCTACTCTGCGCCCCCGGGGCCATAGCGCTGCACCCCCGGGGTGGGCCAGGCCAGGCCTTGCAGACCAGCATCAAGGGTAAATGAGGCGGACCTCGCCCACCATCCCTTACTCTGTCTCTTTCTCTCTCCCTCAGTTGCTCTCTCTCTCCCTCTCTCTGGCTGCTCTGGCTGTCTATCTTCCTCCTCGGAAGCCGCAACGTCAAAATTTCATAGCCATAGAGTGCCGGCAGCAGCAGTGAGGGACCAGCATGAGTATAGAGGGAGGGATGAAGGTCCAGAGAGAGAGAGATATCTGAGAGGGACCTGTACCTGCACCTGGGGCCTAGCTCGGCCGCTACTCGTAAAGCCGTGCAGAGGCCCGGAGGCTGGCCTCGCTCATTCCCCGCCCCCGCCGCCCCTGCCGCCCCTGCCACCGCTGCCGCCCCCGCAGCCCGCACTACCTACAACAGCGCCGCCCTTTTTGTCGCCGCGTTGGACGTGTCGTGTTGTACGCGCGGCGTTATATTATAGGGGTGCAGGTGCGCGGCTGGCGGCCGTGATGGAGGTCGGCCCTCATGAAGGTGAACGGCACGGGGGAGGGAGGGTGAAACGTACCCTACCAAGTGTAAATTGGAGCAAAAACTTTCATCAGGATTAGTTTTAGAATTTTGTTAAAAAAAATTATGTTATCTGAAAACAGGCGCAATAATGTTGAATTGGTGCCTACGTTTTCTATTCAAAGTCATCGGTGACAAGTCAGTCAAGTCAAGTTGTCCGTCTGTAAATGCGACCGTGGAAAAATACCCTCTTAAATTTACAACATTTTGTTGTAACTTCTGTTTTACAAAATATGTTATAAATTTGCGACAGGCCAAATTTACTGTCTTGGTCAATTTCAACTTCGATACGAAGTGCTTGTAAATTTTAAACTTGAAATTGTAATTGTGCGACAAAAAAGTTTCGGTAGACTGATGACTTTTTTTCTAGTGACGTGATGTCGCCTTTCTTCGTTTGCTTTGCCACTGCACCGCCCTCGCCGCCTCTGCAGAGCCCCTTTAGTATCGGCGCGCGATCCGCTGCCATCTTGGCGCGCGCGCGTCAAACGCTGTCGGCCTGTGTCGGCCGCGCCCCTGAGAGCTTTTGCCCATTACGGGACGCGACCGTTCTGACAAGAGTCCTGACAAGAGTCATCTTTGCCACCACCCTGCCGCTCCCCCTCCCCCCTTCCTGCCGCCATTCTCATGAGAATGCTCACCTTTTATCGCCACCGTAAGAGTTATTTTTCCTGTAGCAGTCCACGATTAGCTGTAGGCATCTTCACATTTCGCTGTGACTTTGCACGCGCGTTCGGGGTTTTGCCATGCGACCCGAGTGGCTATGCATCACAACACACCCGCACGGTGCAGGTGCCTCGCAGCCTAACCAGATGTGCACTAATCCCTCTCCCCTCCCCACCCCACCGTCTCTAGTGAGAAACCTGAAAGGTAGGCAATTTGTGCCATGAATCTTCTGAATCTCCGCAACCCACGGTGCACCGCCGCCCTGTCATCCAGACCTTACACCGCGCCTGCCAGATAGTGAACACGAGGGGGCATCAACTTCGACTATTCACGGTGCACCCGCTGGTTAATATCTAATAGGTATTCAGGTGATATTTGCGAATATTCACAAGATATTCAAAATATTCATTGATATTCATCGATATTCATCAATATTCAAGGATATTAATCAACAATCACAGTGAATATTCACTGGTATTCAGTGATATTCACTGGTATTCAGTGACATAGAATATTTGAATATATTCACAGTTCACCAAATTTCCAAGTTGGTTCCCCCTTGAGTGAACATTCTTTGCCATACGCGATCCAAAAGTCGATTTTCCTGTACACTCTAAATGGAGAAGGACAATTTTCTATGCAAATTTGTCACTTTGTAACTATGCAGATACAAATTTGCATACTACACTGTAAAAAATATTAGTGATTTTACCGATAATTCTTGAAATCTTGTACAGAAATAAAATGTAATTTTACCAAACATGTTAGTTTTACCGAAAAACTATGGTAAAATTACAGTAACTGTAAAATTGCAGATTTTCTGTATTTTTCACGAAAAACTACTGTAAATTTACACTCGTCTGTAAAAATCCACACGTACTCTGGTATAATTACAGGTATTGGTAAAGTTACAAATACTCTGTAAAGTAGTCTTTCAGATACTTTCTGTAATTTTTCGAACACATAAGAAATACGGTTAAAATTGGCCACAAAATTGGCTCAATGTTGAACTGTAGTGCATTCTAACAACGAACAACGAAAGAAACCCGATGTTGTGATAATCACTAACCAAGAAGGCAGTTAACCGTATGCAAAGCCGCGTGGACAGTCGGAGGCAACAGATGGAGTACGGACGGGCTACCTGCATGCAGCGCGCCGTAGCGCAATGGGCAAGGCATCGGGCTCACGACCAAGAGGTCGGGGGTTCGATCCTACCTGGGGTACAAGTGTTAATAGTAGTTTCACCGATGAAACCCGTAGGCGCTTGACTGTGTAATATATAGAACAAGAAAACAGCCGCCGAAAATATTTTTTTCTTGCATGTATTACGTCAGAAGAATGTGGGTAAAAATTACAGAAAACGTTCGTAAACATATTTACAGAAACGTTTGGTATCAGTTTTACAGAAATTTTGTGGAGTTAGTTTTACAAGTGTCTGTAATTTTACAGACACCTGTAATTTTACCAGACTTTTACATGGCAACTGGTATACCCAGACTTTTTCTGTAAAATCTCTACAAAAAATTTTAACAGTGTACAGTGTTGAGTTGTGCGTAAGACTACATCTTCGTTGTGGATACAAAATCTCCTTCCCACTTAGAGTGTATTCAAAGGAAAACTTTTTCATGCATTCTTCTGGACAAACAATAATCGTGTCAGATATTGGGGTGGCCTTAAGTAGTAGTACTTGTCTGGACATATTTCCTGTCTGCCGCCAACTACGTGAGCACCGCGAGCTGCCCCACCGACCGCAGCGCAAAGTGCAGAGTACAAAAGTACACGACAGCATCCGGACGCCACCAGAGGGCGCCGCGGCGTCGCGTTTATCACCCGGACGTGCCATATGCCGGAGTGAACAACCCCTTCAGGGGCTCGTAATGGGTGGGACCTGCGTGGGGGGAGGGCTGCAGGGGTGGCGGCCTCGACATGGAGGTGTGTGTGTGTGTATGGGTATATGTGCGTGCGTGCACGCCTATGGGTGTGCGTGTGTTGTGATTGGGTTGCGCGAGCAAACGTGGTCAATAAAAAGGGAAAAAAAAGCAAACATCGCGGTCGCGCGGCCCCGCGAACTCTATGCAGAGGCGTCGCCCCTGTCAGTCGCGAGGATCCGCGGCGCCCGCGCGATTGTGTCGGATGGCGTCGCGTGTGCAGCCCGAGATGCGACAAGTACGCGCTAGTAAACAACGAAAAAAGTTTTGTCTTAGTTGTTAACAAAAACCATCGATACTCAGTGAATTTCGCAGATCTGCAAGAAAAAATTAGCCCACCCCTAAATTGACCTGTAATTCTCACTTTCGATTACGCATCCTACGAATCATTTTTTCTACTTCACCCCTAGCAAATACGCCATTTATTAATTTTGTCTTTCTTTTGTTGCAGATCAAAATGTGGATACAATTACTCACTCTTTTGGATTTCACAACCGCTCCTCGCTAGGTAGCTGCTATGCGTCGGGCTCACTCGTCAGGTAAGCAGCGACAACAATCCACGACTTCTTTTTGCTTTTTTTAATTTTCCCTTTAAACTTCGTTTCGTGACATTTTCGCGAGCGCGAAACATGGGGTGCGCCCCTCCTTACGCGCGAGTCCCCCCCCCCCCTCCCGTCCCTCCCCACCCCGAGGCCATAGCTGCTGCTGCCATCCTCTGGAATCGCCGTCCTCCGGTCCTGCCCGGAGTCACCCCGGAGCCTGGCGCACACACGTGGAGTCCATTCGGCGCTGATCGAATTTCCGGAGGGTCGTGGCGTAGCAGCAGTGGCCGCGCTGCCACTGAGGCGGGGCGTGGTGGGGTGGGTTCGGCGGGATTTGGCACTGAGCACGCCACCTGTGTATGTGAGGCGGGTGGCAGGTCCCTGTTTTTATTCCCTGGACCGATTGACGTCCATCACCGTCCTCGACCAGCGGAGGGACGTTGCGAGCAGCGAGGACTATATGGGGGGTATGGCCGGGGGGCACTGTGTCGTGAAGCCCGCGGGGCGCTCAGTAGCCTGCAGGAGGACCCTGCCGTTTTCCTTTGATCCGCGCTTATATCCCGGGGCCTATCTGCACCGGACCCATGCTGTTATCAGGGCGCACGGGGGTCAG